ACCCTCTTGTATGAGGTTGAAGCAGTGGTGAATAGTCGTCCGCTAACTTATGTGTCTGATAGCCTGGATGAGCCACCAGTAACCCCTGCAATGATGATGGGTGACATCTGGATGTCGTCAGAGAAGCCAGCAGGTACCCTGGACGCTGCGCAGATGTCATCGAGATTGCGTTACCTCAGTCGGACACTGGAGCATGTCAAGAATCGTTGGGAGGTGGAGTACCTAAGTCAGCTGAACAAACACCAACAGACCATGTCGCGCCCTTTAGCTGTGGGTGATGTTGTCTTTGTTCTCGACGATACCAAGCGCAAACAGTTCTGGCGTTTGGGACGGATCATCGAGTTATTCCCTGGTCGAGATGGTAAGCGTCGTGTTGCCAAGGTTAAGTTGAGTACCAGTACCCTGTTGAGGCCGATCCAAAGGTTAGTGCCGCTAGAAGTATCGTCACAGGACGTGGCTCCTGGGCTTGCAGATACCGCTCAACCTGCTATCGTCCCTCAGCAGCCAGCGTATGAACCGCCAGCACCGTTACCACCACCACGGCAGCAGGAGACAACGCGTTCTGGGCGCGTAGTCAGAGCCCCGGATCGTTTTTGACTTGTGTGCATTGTTGTACGGCGGTGAGAAGCCCTTTGGTGGGGAGAATGTTGTAAACCACCAGTTCTCAATTGGGAAAGGCCTTCGCGCTTATGGCATTGTATTCGTTGAAATGTTGTATTTCGACTCCGCCGTACCGCTGATGTTGCTGCATGGCATACGCTATATGCGTTGTGTGCGTTTTGCTGTATACGCTGTTATGTCCAGTTTTATCTGCTTATGTTTTGCATGTACGCTGTTTTTGCATGCTATAAATAGCTGGTGTTATTAGTGTTCATTGTTAATTATCAGATGAAGTGAAATATACTGTGTAAAGGAAAAGAGTTGTCCTCGTGCCGTGTGGTCGTACGATCCTGACAATTTAGAGAATCTTGCAGGGTTCACAACATTTGGCTTCCTGGCGTGATCGCCAAATGTTGTGAACCCTGCAAGATTCTCTAAATTGTCAGGATCGTACGACCACACGGCACGAGGACAACTCTTTTCCTTTACACAGTATATTTCACTTCATCTGATAATTAACAATGAACACTAATAACACCAGCTATTTATAGCATGCAAAAACAGCGTACATGCAAAACATAAGCAGATAAAACTGGACATAACAGCGTATACAGCAAAACGCACACAACGCATATAGCGTATGCCATGCAGCAACATCAGCGGTACGGCAGAGTCGAAATACAACATTTCAACGAATACAATGCCATAAGCGCGAAGGCCTTTCCCAATTGAGAACTGGTGGTTTACAACAAGTAGGCTGAGGAAGATTGTGCCTGAAGAGCACCACTTATATAGTGCTCTCCAGGCACAAACATCACCAGGGATACAAACTTACAGAGAAGCTGCGTTTCCAGCGCGACAAACACCTCGTGAACACCAGATAGCAGCGTGAGTCAGTGTCGCTCCATGGACTTCTCGTGTGCTCTGGATGGCAGTCGTGAGTCAGTCAAGTGTCAAGTAAAGTCGGCGGAATAGCGCGAGCTCCGGTGTGGGGAGCAAACCCTTTCTTGCAAATCATCGCCGAAGTCGCAACCACTACTTCGTATTATTATTATTATTATTATTATTATTATTCAAAGGATCAGTCGGGGAAGTGAACTGCCTGAAAAGAGAAAAAAACGCCAGACCCACTAGGACTCGAACCTGGGACCCTGCTTGTCATGAGCAATGCTCTAACCACTGAGCTATGGGACCAGGCTGAACCCAGAAGGCGCCGACAAGTCTTCCACTCCAAAGGCAGCTCACAACACGTGCCACACATACTGATGGCACTTGGGTCTTTTTCCCTCCCCCAGGGGACCAACCACGGTCAGTTTCTGGAAACTACCAGAGGTGAAAGAAAGTGATTAAATTTGGAAAGGATTGGGAGAACTTCAAATTCAAAGGATCAGTCGGGGAAGTGAACTGCCTGAAAAGAGAAAAAAACGCCAGACCCACCAGGACTCGAACCTGGGACCCTGCTTGTCATGAGCAATGCTCTAACCACTGAGCTATGGGACCAGGCTGAACCCAGAAGGCGCCGACAAGTCTTCCACTCCAAAGGCAGCTCACAACACGTGCCACACATACTGATGGCACTTGGGTCTTTTTCCCTCCCCCAGGGGACCAACCACGGTCAGTTTCTGGAAATTACCAGAGGTGAAAGAAAGTGATTAAATTTGGAAAGGATTGGGAGAACTTCAAATTCAAAGGATCAGTCGGGGAAGTGAACTGCCTGAAAAGAGAAAAAAACGCCAGACCCACCAGGAGTTTGAATTTGAAGTTCTCCCAATCCTTTCCAAATTTAATCACTTTCTTTCACCTCTGGTAGTTTCCAGAAACTGACCGTGGTTGGTCCCCTGGGGGAGGGAAAAAGACCCAAGTGCCATCAGTATGTGTGGCACGTGTTGTGAGCTGCCTTTGGAGTGGAAGACATGTCGGCGCCTTCTGGGTTCAGCCTGGTCCCATAGCTCAGTGGTTAGAGCATTGCTCATGACAAGCAGGGTCCCAGGTTCGAGTCCTGGTGGGTCTGGTGTTTTTTTCTCTTTTCAGGCAGTTCACTTCCCCGACTGATCCTTTGAATTTGAAGTTCTCCCAATCCTTTCCAAATTATTATTATTATTATTAAAGAGAAATGGAGTGAGAAGAAACAACACCTATGAAAAATGATAATCCTAGCACTAAGGAAAAACTGCGAAAGCACTTAACGAACTTGTAAAGACTACTAGTATACTGTGACACAAGATATGACACCATGGCCAACCAGGGCCAAACAGACAGAACAAGCTGCTACTAGAACAATTTCAAACGAATAATGCTGTCCTTCTGGACACACAGATTAGGCTTATGAATACGTTGACAAACAGCTTCTAACACACTCAACTGCAACTTATAACCATGACGAGCACGGCACAAAACAGAAAAAGAAGAATCAGAATACACCTTGCAGCAATCAGGACGAGATACAAGATGCTTATACACTGATGACTTCCTACTAGAAAACACACGCTCGCACCCACTCTTACTCACACAATCATTCTCGCTCTCACACTCACCGGACTCACTGGACTCACTGGTCGAATCCTCCTCAACGACGTCCTGCCTTGGATTATTATTATTATTATTATTATTTAAATAGGCGTCGAGGCAACAATAGTTTTAGAATTGCGATCAACAGAACGAGCTGAACCGACATTTCACAAAAGGCTTTTATTGTTTTCAAAAAACGAGTGGATACGAAGGCAGTGAAGAACATGGAAGAAAGAAAAAATGTGATATGGAAAAAAATGATGAACAAAAAATTGTACTTCGAACTAGTAGTAGCTACGCGCAATCCCTGCATTTTACCTAAACTAAAGCCCGAACCTCAGCTTATACCAGATCTCCGTTTTTTGCTGCCTATTCTCTCTGGCTGGCCCTGCCTCTATCAGTAAAATCGTCTTGTACGCTAAAGGATTTCAAGGCCAACATGAAGCTCGTGGTCTAATAACTGCTAGTTCTTCATCCACATTTGTTTCTCTTTGTCTCCAGTAATGTGTAATATTTATTTATTTTTGCTTTGTTCTTGTTTACTGCCATGGCTGGCTACCGCCCCCCTCCCTCCATACTGGCCTATATTCTCTGGCCACGGGAAGGTGAAATAAATAAATAAATAAATAGTTTTCGCACAACACTCCTCAGGAAGCTACGTTGTACTAATGAAAAACAATCCAGAAAGATACTAATAAAGAGAAATGGAGTGAGAAGAAACAACACCTATGAGAATGATAATCCTAGCACTAAGGTAATAACAGGAAAAACTGCGAAAGCACTTAATTTAACGAACTTGTAAGGACTACTAGTATACTGTGACACAAGATATGACACCATGGCCAACCAGAGCCAAACAGACAGAACAAGCTGCTACTAAAACAATTTCAAACGAATGATGCTGTCCTTCTGGACACACTCGTCCTGATTGCTGCAAGGTTTATTCTGATTCTTCTTTTTCTGTTTTGTGCCGTGCTCGTCATGGTTGTAAGTTGCAGTTGAGTGTGTTAGAAGCTGTTTGTCAACGTATTCATAAGCCTAATCTGTGTGTCCAGAAGGACAGCATTATTCGTTTAAAATTGTTTTAGTAGCAGCTTGTTCTGTCTGTTTGGCTCTGGTTGGCCATGGTGTCATATCTTGTGTCACAGTATACTAGTAGTCCTTACAAGTTCGTTAAGTGCTTTCGCAGTTTTTCCTGTTATTACCTTAGTGCTAGGATTATCATTTTCATAGGTGTTGTTTCTTCTCACTCCATTTCTCTTTATTAGTATCTTTCTGGATTGTTTTTCATTAGTACAACGTAGCTTCCTGAGGAGTGTTATGCGAAAACTAGTTCAAAGTACAATTTTTTGTTCATCATTTTTTCCATATCACATTTTTTCTTTCTTCCATGTTCTTCACTGCCTTCGTATCCACTCGTTTTTTGAAAACAATAAAAGCCTTTGTGAAATGTCGGTTCAGCTCGTTCTGTTGATCGCAATTCTAAAATTATTATTATTATTATTCAAATTTTGAATCGGGCAATCCCCACAACTATAATCATACTGAGCAATAAAACAGGACTACTTCTGAAGTAGGTTATTACAAGCAAACAAATAAAAGCCCAGTGATATACCACCACTCTCAATTATATAAATTTTCTCGTGCAAGCGAAATTGCTTCTGAATTTAGAAAGGGAATATTATTATATCAACCTTGGTGGAAGACAGCTCCACAGCTTAGTGATTGTATGCAGAAAGAGAGAAGAAGAGATGCGACTATGAGAATTGAAACAGTTTGTTGGTCTGTGTGCCCTGGAAGCTATAGTCAGTATGTGTGACCACGTCACCTGGGCTTATTCTTTAAAAACCTCAATAATAAGTCCCTCCCGCTGCTTTCCTTTACCTCCGCAGGATCTGGTGTAACCACCTGGACCAAGAAGTGCTATACCTCCAATGACACATCCCAGATCGATTGCGGAACCCAGAACTCCACGTGCAAGACGGATGGGTTCGGACACGCATACTGCAGGAGATGCTGCAATGGAACTGACTGCAACGACGACACTCCTCCAAGTGCCTTATCCTATGTACAATCTCTGAAGACATGCCAAGTGACCACGGGCACATGTACTGGCACCACCTACAACTGCCTAGAGAGAACAGAGTGGTGCGATTCCTACTGCCTGTCAGGGTCCGATTATGACATCGTTAATGGTATGCCGCTTGGGTTATTATTGTTAGCATGAGTGCATAACATCACAGAGTATAGAGCTTTTAAAGCCCTGTGTGTATCTGTCGGCTAAGAAAAGGAATATATGGTTGAGAGTTGAGAGTAACTGTCCACCACCGTAACTAGATAATTATCGCTCAACATTTGAGTTTAAATATTGGACCTGAAGGGGTTGGCGAATTCTGCTCGGGATACTGGCAAACATTATTTTCATCTTAGTCAATCTGATATTATTTCAATTTATTTGCTCTCAAAAGACCATTATTCTGCTTCTCTTTTACTCTATGATGTATCCAAAAATGTATCCATATGTCATGTGATGAACACAAGAAACTAGGGTAAAACAGACAAATGCTAGTGACGCAGCCAGCGTAGGCTGCGTTTACAATTACACGACCACGCAGGCACGCACGGCGTCCCGTTTTCCGTTTTCGATCCTGTATTTCTTCATAGACTCCTTTCCGTTTTGGTGCCTTCGTACGGTTACAGCTGATCCGAGCCTGATCTTCATTTTTATCGTTCATATGTATCGTGTTCGCGCTTGTATAGTATTAGTAAGTTGCGGCCACTTGAAAGTACGAAGAACACAATTTTACAAACTCAGAAGCTCCATAAAGCATCACCGCAAAGTGAATTTTATCCCCGGATCTCAAAGCAAAATATGCAGACTTTGAGAGCATAATGCGAGCTATCATGGAAGAATATGATTTCGCGAGCATAATCCGAAGGAGCCTACACCTCGTGAGCCTGTTGCTGGAGCACGTCTGGATGTTGAACATCTGGTTTAGTTCGTGGACTCTACCGCATGACTTGTGCCCTACTGGTTTCCATATCTTCAATTCTAAAATTCCTTGGCTCACCATCTGAGTTCGAACTATAATCATACTGAGCAATAAAACAGGACTACTCCTGAAGTAGTTTATTCGAAGTAAACAATTAAAAGCCCAGTGATATACCACCATGCTCAATTATATACTCAAGTAATAAATTATTTTTCTCGTGTCAGCAAAATTGCTGCTGAATGTAGAAAGGGAATCTAGGAATGTCAGCCTTGGTGGAAGGCAGCTCCATAGCTTAGCGATTGTATGCAGAAAGAGAGAAGAAGAGACGCGACAATGAGAATTGAAACAGTTTGTTTGCGCGGTGTGCCCTGGAAGAGATTAAGGACTATAGCCAGTGTGTATTACCACGTCACCTGGGTTTATTCCTCAAAAACTTCAATAATGAGTCCCTCCCGCTGTTTTCCTTTACCTCTGCAGGAGCTGGTGTAACCACCTGGACCAAGAAGTGCTATTCTTCCGCTGACACCTTCCAGATTGATTGCGGAACCCAGAACTCCGCGTGCAAGACGGATAGCGCGTCCAGACACACATACTGCAGGAAATGCTGCACTGGAAGTGACTGCAAGGACGCCACTCCACCCAGTGCCGTATCCTATCTACAATCTCGGAAGACATGCCAAGTGACCACGGGCACATGTACTGGCAGCACCTACAACTGCAAAGAGAGAACAGAGTTGTGCGATTCCTACTGCCTGTCAGGGTCCAATTATGTCGGGGTTGATGGTAAGCCGTTTGGGTTATTTATTTATTTATTTTTATTTATTTCACCTTCCCGTGGCCAGAGAATATAGGCCAATATGGAGGGAGGGGGGCGGTAGCCAGCCATGGCAGTAAACAAAAACAAAGCAAAAATAAATAAATATTACACATTACTGGAGGCAAAGAGAAACAAATGTGGATGAAGAACTAGCAGTTATTAGAACACGAGCTTCATGTTGGCCTTGAAATCCTTTAGCGTACAAGACGATTTTACTGATAGAGGCAGGGCCAGCCAGAGAGAATAAGCAGCAAAAAACGGAGATCTGGTATAAGCTGAGGTTCGGGCTTTAGGTAAAGTGCAGGGATTGCGCGTAGGACGAGTGGGAAGAAACCAGTTATATTTACGCAAGTGTGGCCGGGCTTTGTCAAGACGAATAGAATGAACAACAATACACAGTTTTCGATCCGCTTGACTAGAGATAGGGAAGGTGTTAAACATATCATACAGCTCGGCAGAAGGAAAGTATGATGGTTTGCGGAAAAGGACTTTGAGTATCCTCTTATTGTGGACTTCCAGGGTACTCATTAACGATTTACTAAGTAGGGATGACCAGGCGGTTGAGCAATAGAGAAAAATGGGGAGAATATAGCAATGATAAAAAAGGCGAATGCATTCAAGCGGTAGGTGGGAGCAGTGAGACACGAGGTAGCCAACAGCTTTACTGACTTTGCTACAGATATAGTCGACATGTCTACTAAACGATAAGTCTGAGTCAATGACCAAACCAAGATGTTTGTGTTGTTTTACCACTGTGAGGTCTGTGAGGGATCCGGGAAGAGTGAATGCATAGGTTGGCTCTGAGTTCGGCAGGAATAATATCTCAGTCTTGGCGATATTAGGTCTTAGTCTCCAGGTAGTCATCCACTGATGGACTTCGTTGATACCGCGCTGGAGACTGTCTCGCAGCCTGTCTAGACACTCATTGAACCGGAGCAGTGCAGTATCGTCAGCAAATAAGGACACACCTTCAACATGACTAGGAAGATCATTTATATACACTAGGAAAAGGAGGGGCCCTAGGATGGATCCCTGGGGCACTCCGGACAGAACAGGTGAAGCATCTGAGAGACTTCCACCTACAAAGACAACTTGCGTTCTGTCGGATAGGTAGTCTGTAATCCACTCCAGCGCTGAGTCACACACACCGAAAACTTTGGAAAGTTTAGCAAGTAATGCACGGTGCCACACGGTGTCGAAAGCATTCTCGAGGTCGAAAAAGCACATGGCAACTTTCCGCCCCATATGACGATGGTCGGCAATGTTTTGGATCAGCTTGGTGAGCTGTAGAGCGGTCGAGTCACCACGACGAAACCCAGATTGCGCGGGATCCAGAGCAGGAGAAATATGATTATACAATTGATTGAAGAAGAGCCGTTCGCAAAGTTTGGAAATACAGGACAGGAGGGAAATTGGGCGATAGTTACTAGCTTGAGATTTGCTGCCTTTGCACTTGTAAATAGGCACAATTTTAGCCAGTTTCCAGTCAGTAGGGAACTTGCCTGTGGTAAAGGAGAGGTTAAATAGGCGGCTAAGTGGAAAAGAAATCGCAGGAGCTAGCTTCTTTATCATATTGTTCGTGATACCGTCTAGCCCTGGCGCTTTCCCAGATTTCAGGTTTGAGATGGCTTTACGAACATCTGCTGTAGTGATATGAACGCGGGTGAATTGGCGAGTAAGACGAGTGTCATATTGGAGAGGGGGTATTACTAAACGTGGGTCATCAGGCACCGCGACAGAGGTAAACTGCTTGTTGAGGATGGTTGCTGTCGGACACCAGCAGCCCATCAGGGCTTGCAATGTCAGGGATGCCAGGTTTTACTTTGTGCGATCGCTGACTGCGGACAAACTGGTGAAGCGTAGTGCTGCCTGAGGTAAGTGTTGTTTTGATTGAACGAATGTACTGGCGGTGGCACCAGCGGGAGAGATGTCTCACCTGGTTCCGCTGTGCCTTATATGCTGATAGGTTGTAGTCCGTAGGGAATTTCTTGGAGAGGCTGAATAGGTCACGCTTCAACTTGATAGCCTTGCGTAGTTCAGTGGAAACCCATGGATGATATTTGCGTGTAGACCCTGGGGTTGAGGGAGTTCGATTTGGTTTGCGGGAGCTATGAAGGGGAACATACTTGGACAGCACAGTCTGGAGGACACTGTGCAGGTTACTAGGTGCACTGTCCACGTCTGAGGATATTAATGAGTTCCAAGGTACTGAGTCTAAGTCTGCATTGACCGCCTCCCACACAGCAGGTGTGACGTGTCGGAGATCGAAAGACATAGAGTTAGGCTCCTGAGCTTGAGACGTTATTTCGCGGGGAGACTGAGGCAGGGGGATGTCGAACTGGCAGTACACAATGGCATGGTCTGAGGCGCCCAGAGGGCAGTCAGTTTCGACGCAAGACGAGAGATTGGCACGGTTACTAAATACCAAATCCAAGCAGGCTTGGACACCAGAGGGTGACGTGTATGTACATGTGTTGACGAGTTGGTGAAGACCAAATGGACTGAGCGTGCGATACAATTCAGCACCGGCAGTATTGGTGGAATCTGTCGAACACCATGACGTGTGCTTGCTGTTAAAATCACCTGTCAAGATAACGTGAGAAGATGAAAGAGGAAGAGTAATGAGTACGTCTTCGAGAGTCTGGCAGTACCTTGCTATATCTGTTGGCTTAGCAGAAGGTGGACGATAACTGCAGCAGAGGAGGATCGGCTCAGCTGCAGCCGGATACGGCTGGATTTGAACCCAAACGGCTTCGCACCCATCGCGAGCTAGATCGGGACGCATGGCAACAGACTTAAACTTATTCTGTCGAACAAGGATAGCGACACCACCATAACCTCTTGCACTTGTCCCGGACTTATTCTCTGCAGTTAATATTGTTAGCATGAGTGCACAACGTCACAGAGTGTGAAGCGTACCACCCTGTGTGTACCTATAGGGGTCTGCAAATTCTGCTCGGGAAAAAAATTGCCAAAAATTGTTTATAAGAGCTATGAAGAGTATGAATGGCGGCATTATGCTGCAGACATCACCACGCAATATGACAACTAATACTTGGTAGATGTGTAAATGTGTTTGTGTCCAGAATCGATTTCCAGGGGCCGATCATCAGTGGAAACACCGTACTAAAGTGATCAGGCCGGCGGTAGGCACGGGCGGATAATGCTAGCATAATAACTAGCATAATGACCCATGTGGGGAAGACCGGCACTGCCCTAGCATAAAGTTTCCAAATGTTTACCTTGTCTAGCACAATCGATGTTTGAAACTAGCACTACGTCCAGTCTGTTGGTACGAGTGTAAAAAGTAGCGCTACTTTTAGAGCGCAGAGACCTTTAGGGTTTTACGTCGGGCCCTAGACGACGGCTACTTTGGCCAACCGGACAACGAAGAAGTTGTGACCAAAGAGAGTGATTTTATTTCTTGCGCATGCGTATGTAGAATGACGTAATACTCAGTGAGTCAGGTCACTACAGTACTCCCCCGCCAGTGGTGAGGTCGGGAGGAGCGAAGCACGATAAACAAGAAACAAAAAGAGAAGAGAAAGGAAACGCAGCATGTACAAGGCGGAAAGGCAAAAATATAATAATATGATACATATGTACAAGCGAAAACGCTGCGTGTGTGAAATTTGTTAACATCGTGGCACAAATGCTGAAACAAAAATCAGAAAAGCAGGAAAGAGAGACATGCCCTAGACGACGGCTACTTTGGCCAACCGGACAACGAAGAAGTTGTGACCAAAGAGAGTGATTTTATTTCTTGCGCATGCGTATGTAGAATGACGTAATACTCAGTGAGTCAGGTCGCTACAGACCCACAAGGCTGCTCCCTGCGATGCTGGACCGTAGACGGGCGTAGACCGGGACGCAAGCGTACAAAACGGCTGCAATCGAGTGTGAACAGGAGACGGCGTCGTGCGCCGACTACTTCCGATTCGTACTTGGAAATTGTTAGCATTTCGAACACTGCGCTTCCCATGATAACGTCTCTGCTTCGTTCAGGGAATTCAGAATAGGAAGTCTGCTGTACCACCCGCTCTTTTCTTTTTACTTTTAAAAGCGATTATTTGTAACATGGAAATTTGTTCGTTGGCTCACCCGCTGAGTTCCTAAAGCTATTATTCATTTTCTGCTGCCCCGATTATTTCTTTTATTAGTATTAGTATTTTCTTTGCCTTCGCTTTCTTGTTATTGGGCAACTTGCCCGTTAGAATCTGCGAAGTAAAATAAACAACAACGACGACGACGACGACGACGACGACGACGATGACGACGACGACGACGACGACGACGACGACAACAACAACAACAACAACTGCAACAACAACTACAACAACAACAACAACAACAACAACAACAACAACAACAACAACAACAACAACAACAACAACAACAACAACAACAACAACAACAACAACAACAACTCATATATGAGTCTATAATACTTCGAAGTAGACTATAATGATTATTTTAAAATAGACTATCGTCGTGACGACTGAGGAGTATATACATGTATAGCCTGCTTCAAAACGAGTTTATTCAAACAATACGACATGGAAAGAAGGAATAACTATATAACTAAGCTATACAACTGGTTGTTTTAGTGATTCTTACCATGTGACGATGTTCCACTGATGATAAGTTAGTCACGAGAAAACGCTATGGATTTTTTCATAAATAAATTACTGTTTCATATGAAGTACATGTGCATGGTTATGAGTGCACAATAGACCGATTGCCATTTGTACAGATCCACAAAATCTCGTAGAATCCCGTAGATCCATATATAATAGTTGTATTCATTGCTATTGCAGAGGATAAAGGTAAAGATAGAATGTACGTGTGACAAATGTATATGATAAAGATTAGTTCAGAAAACAAATCATGAACAAGGGGGTGTAGGAACTTAGAAGTTGCGACTTCGGCGGTATTAGTCATGAAGTTGGTTGTTCCAATGAGGAAC